ATGATGGGCCAAGGCCAACGCTATGAGGTTCAAGAGGGTCAAGTGTCAGGTCCTGTCCTTGTTCACAACAATTCCCATGCAGTGCTACAGGCTCGGGGCAGTTGCTGGAAAACTGCCTGGTGAAAAAGGCCCTGGAGGCACTGTTTGGCGGCAGCTGAACACAAGTCATCAGCGTGCTCAGGGGGTCAAGGAGACCAATGGCATCCTGCTTGGATCCCAAATAGTGTGGCCAGCAGGATCAGGGAAGTGATTGTCCCGCTGTACTCAGCACTGGTGAGAACACACCTCAAATTCTGTGTTCAGTTTTGGGCGGAGAATAAAGACACTGAGGTGCCAGAGCACATCCAGAGAAAGGCAAAGCTGGTGAAGGGTTTGGAGAAGAAGAGGCTCAGTGGGACCTTATCGCTCTCTACAACTACTTCACTGGGTGAGGTGGGGGTCTGCCTCTTCTCCCAGGCAGCAAGTGAAAGGACAAGAGGAAATGGCCTCAAGTTGTGCCAGGAGAGGTTTAGACTGGATATTAGGAAAAATATTTTCACTGAAAGAGTTGTCAATCACTGGAACAGGCTGCCCAGGGAAGTGGTTGAGTCACCATCTCTGGAGATAATTAAAAGTCATGTAGATGTGGCACTTAGGAACATGGCTGAGTGGTAGATGTGGCAGTGCTAGGCTAATGTTTGGACTCCATGCTCTTAAAGGCCTTTTCCAACCTAAGTGATTCTATTATTTACTGCACTCTAATTTTTCCTTTCACTGTCAGTATCTTTACCCCTCCTGCTTTGCAGAGGTTTGCCAAAACATCCCACTAAAGTGAAAATCAACTGTTTACTTTTTACTCCCTAATTCAAGCAATGCAAACTTCAGTTAAACTAGCTCTTCAGATAAAGTTGCTAAATTACCAACTGATTAAACTGCTCATTTTGGTGACTTCAGTGTAAGAAAGAACCTTGCTGAAGAGTCAGACCAAGCTACAAAACAGAGAAAAGACAAGACAAAGCTGCCCATGAAGAGTCTTTTCAAAACAAAAATATTATTCGCAACAGTGTTATTCACAGAAAGGGGAAAACTGTTCTACTTGAAATATTTACAAAGCTATCAGTACAGCCTAGAAAATAACTGAAACAAGAGTCAGGATCATTCTTCCAAAGAATCACAAGGAATTTGTAACAACTTTCACTGTCTTATGTAGGACACTCAGCCCAGCACACACATGATAACAGGTCCACCCCAGATCCAGACAACCCATCATTAAGAGCATAACTAACTCAGTTCTTAGAAACATAAAATCATCTTTAATTATACAAGTGTCTTCTCATCATCCGATCCCCCAGTGCCTGGCTTCATTCCATTTTTGAAGAGAGAGTTCTATTGACAAGAAAGACAATCTTCTTAGTGAAGACTTTCTTAATCTGGTTTAGTAAACAGAACCATTGCCTTGTTTACAGAAGAAATCATTCTGGGTGTATTTTTAATGGTGACAGAATTTTCCAGCTTTCCCTTCCTACTTTAAAACAGCTGAGTGTTACAGAAAGTTAACCAAAGGGAAAACATATTCCTACAATGTGGATACTGCACTAGAAAATTCCCCCAGTCAGAGACACAAGAGGACAGGTAATTGAGAAGACACAGTTCAGATGTAAAACAACAATCCCTTCCAGTTTATTTATGTCAATGCAAGAGTCGGTATCTTGATTAAAGCCCATCAATCCAAATGACAGAGGTCATGGTGCCCTTAGGACAATGTCAATCAGGATTAAGCAAAACAAGGAGGACAAAGTTGGAACTCAACTATTCAATTCCCTCCTCTTTCTAAAAAGCCTACAGCGACTTCCTCAACGGAAGGAGCGAGGAACATAGCCTAATGATCACGGCATTAGCTGTCCAGTTTTCTGAAAGTAAGCAAGCAATGGGATGCATGTTGCAAAAGACTGATGAGCATTTTTTAATAAGAATCTAAGCTAACTTCTGTGGCTCTATTTCCCACCTCTCCCAAAGCAGAGGTACAGTTACAGAATTAGACAAGACTGACTCTGTTATGGTATTAAGAGACCTCAGAGATCAGCCTGTATCTCCTACTGACAGACAGATCCGCCTCAGCTCC